TGTTTATAAACGCAACTCTTAGAATTTGGGTCTCTTATTTTATATATTGTATTATCTGCTCGTTGCTTTTGTAATTTACTCGCTAAAAGTTTAGCAAACTTAGCACCAGATTCATAGTATTTTTGTTTGGTATAAATCATCTTCTTTCGTATTTCTTGTAAGTATAGTGCATTAATATTATTTCTCAATATTTTCAGCTTAATATTAAGCTCCGGTTTTAATTCTCTCTTATGTTTTCTCTCCAGCTCTTTTAACTCCCTATTTAACTCTGATAAAATTGCCTAGCTCTTTTTTTCTGGACACAAAATTATATCATTTTACCCCTCATAACGGCTTTCAATGTGTCCCAGACGATTTCTGGGCTCATCTCACCATTAAGGTTTTCTTTTAGGAATGTTTTTATGTCAGATTTGATTAATTTGACAAATTGTAGGTCGTTCAGTACACTTGTATTCAACCTCCACGTTTAGCAATAGGTGAGCATGGTCATAAAGGTCAATGTTTCCAATCTCGCAGTTATATACCCGGCGATCCCTTTTAAAAACAAAAAAATAATCAATTCTAGAGTATACTGTATGTGCATGGGAAAAATGGGTATAATCTCGGCTTGTTGGATATAAATCCCTACAAATGTCCACAATACCATATTCTGACAAGTGGATCTTAATTTTCTTCTGCAAAGAGGTTTGGGGAATCGGTCTTGAGGAGTTAAGCCTAGAATTAAGTCGTACATTCCAATCCCCTCCACAGATAAGTATACCAGTTGATTGTGCCATTAAATCAAATCGTTTTCTAAATAATGAAATGTCACTGCCTGGGGGAGCGTATATATTAAACAGTGTTATTTGGACTCAGTGAAAATCTCCCTTCTTTGTCTGTAGTTTCAGAGATAAGACTCTCTGGGATATTAGAGTGGCCACACCCCGCCTATGACCTGATTTATAGGACGAGCAATATATTTTAGAAAAACCCATCCTTTTTAATTTTTCATGTTCCAGTGAATTAAAATGTGTTTCTTGTAACATAGCAATTTGTACTTTTTCCTTTCTCATTTTAGACAATATTTTATTTCTCTTAGTGGGGTTAAGAACCCCATTCACATTAAATGATGCAAATTTTAGAATATGTTTGTCAGCCATGGTTTCCTATGTTTTTAACCAAAAACATCTTCATACAAAACAAATAAGAGTAATGCACACCCAGAACAAGAACAAGTAAAACATGAAAATAACTAAAATATGGTGAAATCTTTAACAGAAATATCAAAATGTCATTTCTTTGCTTCCAGATCAGAGGTTCTAATGAACTGAACCTTTAAGGGGCTCGGGATGTTAGAGCACCTTTCAGGGGTAAACGCAGCGTGGGGCCCACTGTGTTGGCTGTATTATGATTTTAGCCAGTCTTCAGAATGTTTGTATGCCCCGACATTTTAGTTTACAATTAAGGAGTAAAGGAGTAAAACGAGGGCACAGCTAAAACTAAAAGGACAACTTCTATTATCTTATTCAAACAAGTATCAGTCTAAATGCGTAGAGGGTAGACGTCTGAATTCCTGCAACTTTTCTTTAAACCGCTGCTGGGGCTCATCATCCTCCTGGGGCCGTGAGCCTGCGCGTCAGCGGGCTTAGGGACAAAGGCTCTGTGGACTCTTTCAATTTTGATCTGCGCGTCCTGGGGAAAATCCAGGCAATCACGAAGCAGTTTATCTATGAAACCTTCAATATTATTGTCTTCAGCCCCCTCGGGAATACCGTAAATCCTTATGTTTTCTCGGCGTGCGCGACCCTCTTGGTCAATAACTTTAGCCTCCATATTGTCCTGGCGTTGTAAAGGTTGCATAAGTAACGATGCATGGCCGTTTCCACCTCCTCAATTCGACCCTCAGCTTCATCCAGCCTATCTACCTGTCTTGTGCAAGTCTTGTTGTATCCTTCGAGAGCTGTTGCTCTCAGTTCGGCTAGTACCTTCTCCAAGCTAACCTCCTCCATTTCTTGCCCCTCATCCTCGTGGACCGGGGAGCAGCTTCGGCTGTCCTGCTGTAAATCCTCAGTAATGGGTGCTGTGCCCGTCACCTTTCTCCTCCTTGTAACAACCCCAGCTCACCTTTAGTAAAATTTCACTTTCACAAAAGTTTTTTTTCAGAAAAACCGTCTGAGAGCACTGAAGTTACGCAGCCATCTTGGTCGCAACCCAGAAGCCAACCCGAGGTTTCTGCCTCTTAAAGGAAGTTTTTCCTTGCCTCTGTCTCCTAGTGCTGCTCTTGGTGGGAACTGTTGGGCTTCTGTAAATATCATCATAGAGTTCGGTCTAGACCTGCTCTTTTATGAAAAGCGCTGTGAGGTAACTGTGATTTGGTGCTATATAAAATATATTTTTATTTTCTATACATACACAGGAAACTTCAACATGGCTGTGAAAGATCTGAGGGACAAAGCAAAGAGAGCTTTCTATGCAATAAAAAGAAACTTTAAAATCTATATTCCAATTGAAATCTGGCTTAAAATTTTCCAATTTGTACTAGAACCAATAATTCTATGTGGAGCGAAATCTGGGGGCCAAAACATAATAATGAATTTGACAAATGGGACAAAACAATCATAGAATCTTTCCATACTGAGTTCTGTAAGAGCAGAGAAAGACGCCAATACCCCCTCTTACTAAAAATACAGAAAAGATCACTTAAATTTTACAATCACTTAAAATCAGTTAACCCCCAGACATCCCATCACAAAGCCCTAACATACCAGGAGCTGAAACCAGAGAAGAGTCCCCTCAGCCAGCTGGTCCTGAGGCTCTCTGCAGTAACAAAAGTCCCCAACAGCCTCAGGACAGCAACACCAACTCAAGCAGACCAAACCAAATTATCAGCAAGCAGAAAGAAAAATATACTGAATACTGGAAAGAAACTTTGTAACCTCAGGCCCTAAATATAAAGCCTAAATAAGACTCAGGGGAACGAGCAGGGAGGGAGTCAACAGGTGGAAGACCAATCAGAGACAGGCTGGACACAAACAGCAGACACTGATGCTGCGTCTCCGTTCGCCCACTTCCAGACTCCCACTCACTGTTCTGACGGCAGAAGTGCGTTCACACTGAGAAGTACAGCAAAGTGCTGGACACGCCTCACCCTCAGCTGCATAGCGGAAGGGGGCGGGGCCAACAACATGGGAGAAGCGGGAAGCTGCAGAGAGCGGCGGACAACAGTTTCCTACACTATTTCACCACTAAATCCACTTCTGAGAAGTTTTGAGGCGAGAAATTAAACGTGTAGATGTCGAATACTGACAGAAGCTCCACTAGTGGCGGCGATTCCTCCTGCGGGGGGAGCTAACGAGCCGGCTCACAGACCTCTGCAGCAGCAGCAGCAGAAGAAGAAGCCACAGCTAGAAGCCGTTTAGATGTTCGGACTGCTGTCGGTACACTAATTTAAATCTAATGAAGAGACCTCTGGCTCCTGATGTACAGAATCCTTGTCCTGGCTTGTGGAACTGAATAAATAAATGAATAAACAACAGAAATAGTATGAACAGGGGACTGGCGTTAGTTTATTTTATTATTATGACTTCTTCAGTTTGAAATGCATCCAGTGATAGTTGTCAGTACATCCAACGGTACACAGCAAACATGAACTGTTATGAGTTAATTTGGCGAGCTGTATATTAATGAATCATACACGGATTAAAAGATTTCGTTCAGCCTCTCTTGGCTACACTGTTTCGACCTGACCTTTATTTTTTGAGATGGAAGACTTCAGAAAGTTGCACGGCGCTGTGGAGAGCGTCCAGCTGCAGGAACACATGGATTAGGAGCGTTGGACTTCAGCCAGAGGGAACGACCACTGAGCGTCCAGGGCGCCGGTTCCCCTGGCAACACAACTCACAGCAGGTCTACCGGAGAGGGAGCGGGGGCTGGAGTGGACAAGGCGAGGTTTCACACTGGTTCTGGCCCTCCTTTCACCCCGACCACGTTCTTACTCAGTCTTTTCTGTTAAATATCATAAACCTGCCTTTACCGTCACAAAGTGACGCCCCCCCCACTGCGTTGACCTGTGACGCTATAGGGATCCCCGGTGCGTTACAAACACCGATAGGCCTTGACCACCATATGTGAGGAGTGAGAACCGGTTGTAGGGATACAACACCGGTCAGAGACAGAACAAAACGCAGCTCCTTTGTTTTCAGTTATGGGTTTAAAACAGACAAATAAAACAGATGTCTGTTTTTTGGTTTACCGTTTTTCCATTTTGGTTTTAAACAGAAAAACAAAAAACGACTTGGTTTTTAGTTTTTCCCGATTTGGTTTTGAAACAAAATAATGAAAGAAGGAACCGTAAACAGATTCAGAACAGGCTGAAACAAGAAACGTCGAACAGACTGACAGAACTGACCAATAAACACAACTCTCTACAGAACAGGCAGGCAGAATGCAACCACGCATGAAACAAACAGCAGATAATAACAGAATAAACGAAAAGAATAAACCCTGAGGCAAGAAGAGCTCAAAACCAAAGAAGGCAGGGAACAGTAAGAACAAGAACACAAACCCAAGATAACCGAGTAAAACACACACAGACAGTGTTTACTGGGAGAAATGCCAGAATGGCAAATCATTGCAGCAAAATGTATCTCCTCATGCCACGAACTGAAACTCAGACTAGACTGATGAATAAATGAAATCATTGTACTGTAATATTTTCATATTATTATTTTTATTGTTGGAAAATGGCCAAAAAAACAAGACATATTTTCAATGTAAGATCCATTTTTAGTCTGTTTACTTCTTTAGTCTGTTCTCTCACTTTCTTTTTAAAATGTCATTTTATTGCTTAATATTTATATGTACATTTTTTTATTGTTTATATGTAAATTTTTGCTTTGGCAACATTGTTTACCAAAACAATCATGCCAATAAAGCATATTGAAATGAAAATGAAATGTGAGAGGAATGAGTCTGAAAATGTCTTGTAAGCAACACATTTCAGACTTATCAGTAATCAGTACCTCTCTCTGCTGGCTGGACTGCGGTTGTCTAGCTGCTTCAGGCTGCTGCTGCCTGGCGTCGTTGCCTGAGAATTCAACCCACAACCTCCACTCTGTCTTCTACCGCTGTGATCAGGCAGTCTGCTGTCTGCCTCCGACAGCCACGCCTACAAACACACAAACAGGTAGTAACAGATATTAAACGTCTGAAACGTCATCCAGCAGGACCGGGTTGGTGGTGGATCATTGGAGGGCCGCACAGACCTCCACGTGGTAGCCAACCATACCCAGACTGCTGTTAGGTACCGTGGATCAAATCCTCAGAGCCATTGTCAGACCTTTTGCTGGTGCAGTGGGCCCTGGGTCCCTCGTCCCTCCTGTTGCACTGGTGCAGTTGGCCCTGGGTCCTCTCCTGGTGCACTGGGCCCTAGGGCCCTCATGGTGCACTGGTGCAGTGGGCCCTGGGTCCCTCCTGGTGCAGTGGGCCCTGGGTCCCTCCTGGTGCACTGGTGCACTGGGCCCTGGGTCCCTCCTGGTGCACCGGTGCAATGGGCCCTGGGTCCCTCGGCCCTCCTGGTGCACTGGTGCAATGGGCCCTGGGTCCCTCCTGGTGCACTGGTGCACTGGGCCCTGGGTCCCTCCTGGTGCACTGGTGCAGTGGGCCCTGGGTCCCTCCTGGTGCAGTGGGCCCTGGGGCCCTCCTGGTGCACTGGTGCACTGGGCCCTGGGTCCCTCCTGGTGCACCGGTGCAATGGGCCCTGGGGCCCTCCTGGTGCACTGGTGGAATGGGCCCTGGGGCCCTCCTGGTGCAATGGGCCCTACACTTCCACCTGTCTGACCCACCGTCGGTGCTGCATCGCTCTCTGGATTGTGTTTCTACATCGACGACTCCAAAGCAATACATTCCATCTGGTCTTCTACTCGTCATTCCCCCAAGAACTCCACACGAAAAGTTGACCACAGTGTCATAGCCAGCCTAGCCAGGTCGGCTAACGGCAACATCCAACACGGCCACAACACCGTCAGCTTCGGACTGTTCAACACCCGCTCTCTAATGGACAATCGTCCTCTCCTCCAGGATCTTCTGAGTGATCGTAAGTTTGATTTTCTGTGTTTAACTGAAACATGAAACAACCTGATGACTTTTCACAGCTGAATGAATCTACTCCCCCTGGGTTTGTTTACATCTGTCAATCCCGTGAGAGGCAGAGGGGGAGGTCTCGCCATAATATACCGCGAGAAGTGGAAAATCCCACCCGTTTCTGTACCCTCTCACGGTTCATTTGAATCTATCGCCCTACAACTGAACTTTTTTAATTCCAAAGTGCACAAGATTCACCAGCAGCTGACCACTAATACCTCTCACAGTCTGTCTCTTTCAGTTCCCGACACCTATTTCTTGTTCATTTTCAAGTTTCTCGCTTCCCTCTGTTGCTTAAATATTGGACATTATTAGAAATTCGAAACCAACTACTTGTCAGCTAGACCCTCTTCCTACCGTCTTAGTAAAAGCCTGCTCACCCTCTCTCTCTTCCTAAATAACTACCATTATACATTCCTCTCTCACCTCTGGTATTGTTCCCTCGTCTCTAAAATCAGCTGCAACTCCTATACTTAAGAAACCTGCTGCAGACCCTAACTATTTCAATAACCTCCGTCCTATTGCTAACCTACCTTTTCTTTCTAAAGTCCTTGAAACACAGCTGCATCACAGGTCCACATGTCTGACAATAAACTCTTTGAACAATTCCAGTCTGGTTTCCGTCCCTGCCATAGCACAGAAATAGCGCTGGTAAAAATCACCAATGATCTTCTTGTGGCAACTGATTCCGGACTACTAACTATTCTCATCCTCCTGGATCTGAGTGCAGCCTTTGACACCATCTCTCATAACATCCTCCTTCACAGATTAGTCTCTATTGGTTTCACTGACACACCCTTGGACTGGTTTAAATCATATCTCTCTGGTCGCACTCAGTTCATCCAGCTCAAACATTTCAAATCAGAGCTATCCCCTGTCACTACCGGTGTTCTCCAGGGCTCTGTCCTGGGGCCCCTTCTGTTCATCATCTATCTGCTTCCTCATGGCATCATCTTCCATAAAGTTACATCCAGTTCCACTGCTATGTGGATGACACCCAGCTCTACCTGTCTGCCTACCACATCCCTCCCACCCACCTCCCTCTCTGATTGCAGAAATCAAATCCTGGTTCTCTTGCTACTTCCTCAAACTTAACAGTGACAAAACCGAGGTTCTCCTCATTGGCACCAAATCCATTTTGAATAAATCTGACAGTTTTTCCTCTTACCATTGACAACTGCATAGTTTGTCCCTCCCCTCAGGTCAAGAGTCTGGGTGTGATCTTCGACAGCACACTTTCATTTCAAGCTCACATTAATAATGTCACTTCCATTTACATAACATTAATCGCCTCCGACCAACTCTCTCACCCACTAGTACAGCCATTCTCGTTGACACACTGGTCACATCCCGCATTGATTATTGTAATACTCTTCTCGGTGGTCTTCCTCTCAAATCCATACATAAACTTCAGCTGGTTCAGAACTCTGCTGCACGGATCATCACCAGAAACCCTTCTATTAATCATGTCACTCCTGTCCTTCAGCAGCTTCATTGGCTTCCAGTTAAATACCGCATTAATTTCAAGACCCTGCTCCTGACCTTCAAGACCATTCATAACCTCGCTCCTCGGTACCTCAATAACCTCCTTCATATCAACACACCCACCCGTACTCTTAGGTCTTCTTCTTCTATTCACCTCACTGACCTCCAGCTCGTTTGACCACCATGGGGTTCAGAGCCTTCAGCCGCTCGGCCCCTCGTCTCTGGAACTCTCTTCCACCAGACATCCACAACACTGACTCACTTACCATTTTTAAATCCCGCCTGAAAACACATCTTTTTAAACCGGCATATCCCACGTGATCACAATCTTTGTTTCCTGTTGTTTTGTACCCTGATTTTATGCACTGTAATTATAGTAGCTAATTTTATTGATTTATTGCTGCACTGTTTCATTATGTTCTGTGAGGTGACCTTGAGTGTTCAGAAAGGCGCCTATAAATAAAATGTATTATTATTAATATTATTCCTCTGCGTGCCTCCTGGTACAGTGGGACTGCAGGACTATGCCAAGCCTCATGTGGCCAGAGTGTGTAGGCTTTTCCTGGATGACGAAGGCATTGATGCCATTGACTGGCCCTCATGTTCTCCAGACCTGAATCCAACTGAGAACCTCTGAGACCAACACCGCCAAGTAGCGCCATAGACTGTCCAGGAGCTCACGGATGCCCAGATCCAGGTCTGGCAGAAGCTCCCCCAGGATGCCATCCGCCGTCTCATCGGGATGCCAGACGCTGTGAGGGGTGTGTAGAGACCAGTGGGGGCCAAACACACTATTGAGTCACATGATAAGTTGATGAAAGTCTTCAGGTTGGACCAGCTGTGGTTTCAGGTTCTACTTTGGTTTTCGGTGTGATTTTTGATCCAGTCTTCAGTTAGTTGGTGGTTTTGGTTTCCGTTGACTGTTGTTACATCATTTTGTTCTCAACAAATTCTACAAAGTAAAGATGTGGAACTTTGAACAAGCGCTGCTGCAACATCACCAGCAGGACCAGTTTGGTGTTGGGTCAGTGATCTGGTCTCGGAGCCGAACGTCTCAACGACTGCTTAAATGCAGCTGCTGTGCATCTGTCCAACTAAATGTAGTACAGAATGTGTACACGCTGTGTGTATTACGTGTATACAGTATTTTATGTGTTTCTCTACAGTGTGTACTCTGTAGTATTTATAGTACACACCTGGTTCCTCCTCAGCTCGTCCTCCAGTTTCTGCAGACTCTGTTTCACTTCCTCCAGTCGAGGCTCCAGACTTCCGGCGTCACCCATCTGAGGACTTCGTTCATAGACTTCCCTCATCTTCAACAGGGCGTCTCTGAAACACACAGCAGTTAATACACAACACAGGAACTAACACACACACGTGAGAAGTTCCAGCTGCATCATCTCATCCTCATCTCTGCTTCAGTCACAAAGTTTCACCATTTCACCTGAATCCCAGAAAATGGTCAAAACATGAACTGCTGTTAGTCTCCACCTACTGGCGATGTGAGAACGCAAGCTCATTGGCTGATCAAGATAAAATACTGGTGGAGCTGATTCTTCAGTCGCAGCCGTTAAACCACCACCACAAAAGAAGAAGACTCAGCGAGGTGACGTCATTAAAAGAGCTGCAGTCATGCAGCAACATGATGACATTAGACCTTTCCGTTGCTTTCATGTGTTCATGTGAGGAAGGTCACTGCCTCCTCATCGTCACACAGTCGATGCTTCATGTGTTCATATGAGGAAGGTCACAGCCTCCTCATCGTCACACAGTCGATGCTTCATGTGTTCATGTGAGGAAGGTCACAGCCTCCTCATCGTCACACAGTCGATGCTTCATGTGTTCATGTGAGGAAGGTCACAGCCTCCTCATCGTCACACAGCTGATGCTTCATGTGTTCATGTGAGGAAGGTCACTGCCTCCTCATCGTCACACAGCTGATGCTTCATGTGTTCATGTGAGGAAGGTCACAGCCTCCTCATCGTCACACAGTCGATGCTTCATGTGTTCATGTGAGGAAGGTCACAGCCTCCTCATCGTCACACAGTCGATGCTTCATGTGTTCATGTGAGGAAGGTCACTGACTCCTCATCGTCACACAGTCGATGCTTCATGTGTTCATGTGAGGAAGGTCACTGCCTCCTCATCGTCACACAGTCGATGCTTCATGTGTTCATGTGAGGAAGGTCACTGCCTCCTCATCGTCACACAGTCGATGCTTCATGTGTTCATGTGAGGAAGGTCACAGCCTCCTCATCGTCACACAGTCGATGCTTCATGTGTTCATGTGAGGAAGGTCACAGCCTCCTCATCGTCACACAGTCGATGCTTCATGTGTTCATGTGAGGAAGGTCACTGCCTCCTCATCGTCACACAGTCGATGCTTCATGTGTTCATGTGAGGAAGGTCACAGCCTCCTCATCGTCACACAGTCGATGCTTCATGTGTTCATGTGTTCATGTGAGGAAGGTCACTGCCTCCTCATCGTCACACAGTCGATGCTTCATGTGTTCATGTGAGGAAGGTCACTGCCTCCTCATCGTCACACAGTCGATGCTTCATGTGTTCATGTGAGGAAGGTCACTGCCTCCTCATCGTCACACAGTCGATGCTTCATGTGTTCATGTGAGGAAGGTCACTGCCTCCTCATCGTCACACAGTCGATGCTTCATGTGTTCATGTGAGGAAGGTCACTGCCTCCTCATCGTCACACAGTCGATGCTTCATGTGTTCATGTGAGGAAGGTCACTGCCTCCTCATCGTCACACAGTCGATGCTTCATGTGTTCATGTGAGGAAGGTCACTGCCTCCTCATCGTCACACAGTCGATGCTTCATGTGTTCATGTGAGGAAGGTCACAGCCTCCTCATCGTCACACAGTCGATGCTTCATGTGTTCATGTGAGGAAGGTCACTGCCTCCTCATCGTCACACAGTCGATGCTTCATGTGTTCATGTGAGGAAGGTCACTGCCTCCTCATCGTCACACAGCTGATGCTTCATGTGTTCATGTGAGGAAGGTCACAGCCTCCTCATCGTCACACAGTCGATGCTTCATGTGTTCATGTGAGGAAGGTCACAGCCTCCTCATCGTCACACAGCTGATGCTTCATGTGTTCATGTGATGAAGGTCACAGCCTCCTCATCGTCACACAGTCGATGCTTCATGTGTTCATGTGATGAAGGTCACAGCCTCCTCATCGTCACACAGCTGATGCTTCATGTGTTCATGTGTTCATGCTGTAAACAGGAACGGGACAGCACTTTGCCACTTTATCACTCTTTATTTGATGTTTTTGCCTGTGTGTGATGAGGTGACTGCTTTCCTCTGACTTCACGTGTTCTATGCAGCATCTTAAGTTTTCCTCACATGAACACATGAACACATGAAGCATCGTCACACAGCTGATGCGTAGGTGTTGATTCTTGTTTGTTTACTGTTTTCTTCTTCTCTTATAACGCGGATTTGCCGTGACATTTCTCTCGCTTCCACCGGTAACCCCTGTTTTTCACATCATACCGCTATGAACTGTGGGCAATTCCCTCAGCCAAAGTCTGCAGAAATGCAGATGCAAATGAAAAGGGTCTATAAAGGGCTCAAAATGCCTCGCGCACCTGACGACTTGACAGCGGGACGGCCCTGAGCCTCAGAGTCTGTGGGTCTGTGAGGGGGGACGTTGGGATTGGGCCTGTGTGCGTCTTACCTCTGCTCTCTCTCTCTCTGGATTTCCTGGTTGATGTTGTTGAGTCTGGTCTGAAGTTTCTTCCGTCTCTGTTCAGGAGGAAGGTGACTGCAGTCTGCCGGACCGGAGCCCTGCGCAGTTATCGTGGTGCAATGTTATTATTAAACATCATATATTATAATTAAACATTATATTTAAACATTATATATTACAATTAAACATATTATAATTAAACATGATATCGCGACACAATAGGAAACATGTGGTTTATAAACCTGGATGATACTGACCAGTTTGAGCGACAGCTGTCCAATCACAGAGGAGCATGAAGAAAACATGATAACATTAAAAATACAGCTTGCAGTAAATATACCCACGTAGTTATAAATGTGTGTGTGTACAGATGCAGATTATTTACTAAGTGTGTGTGTGTGTGTGATTAGTAAAACACACGTGTGACTCCTAACACACAGGCATGCACATGCACATCCTGTGACTGCACGTGCACACCAGAAGCAGGTGATCAGTAGTCTCAACACAGCGGAAGCAGGAACCAGCTCCAGGTCTTTAGGATGGACTGAAGCCGGGTTTAGGATGGACTGAAGCCGGGTCTGAACTGGGTCTGGTTTACTGATGCTAGTGGTTACCGTTTCAACTCATGGAGGTGTGTTAGAGTTTGGAGGGGCCGGGGGGGGAGTGGTATGCTGAGGGGGGTTCTGGAGTGTGTCGGGGCGGTCGTACAGACGCAGTATAACAGCTTTAAGGTACCGTAAAGACACCCGGAGCCTACTGTCAGACCGTGAGATAATGTCCGTCCCACACAGCTCAGGTCTCCAGCAGCTTCCTTGAGGATGTCCTTAAAAGAAAGCACCTTCTCTCTGTGGTGGACCAGGTCTTCTGGTTTAAACCTAATGGAGCCTGTGTGGGACATGCTGTCCTGGCCTGTCAGAGGTCAGAACAATGAGCGGGGCCTATCCAAGGCAGGACACGCCCCAAAGGATCATCGGGACTATCACACGAGTTATTTTGGTGACTAGACGTCACCTTGCTCAGCGTGTTTTCCATCTATGACGCTTTCACTTCTGTCCGTCTCAAACTGAACAAATACAACATGTACTGTGTTTTTCTGCCCGTACACGTTTGGTGATGACAAACATTATTCGAACTGTGTTGCTTTCATTTCTCTGAGTAGAGTATATACGTGTGTGTACTAGGCCTGACCCCAAATAGTGGAAGGTTCGATGCTTTGATGGGCGGAGATTCGACTGTCAATCTCCCAGTCGAAGCTTCCCAGTGAAACAAAGATCACGCCATTTTGTGTGCTCAACTTCTGATTTCACATAGAACTACCAGTTTTCTCCCAACAAGTTAATATACAGCCTGTTACGATACACATTTCAATGTTTAATGCTGTAAATAATCATAAAAAGAATAAAACTTTCAATAAATGTTTTTAACGTGTGTGAATAAATCCAAAAGTGTAACCCTGACCCTGGGGCGTCAGTGTGCATGTGTAGGCGTAGCGTGTGTGTGCGGTGGCAGAAGAGATGGAGACGCTGGTGTTGTGCCGAGTTGTCTGCAACGTTGATGAACCACACAAAGAATATTATAGCGTTTTTAAACAGATGCTACTTGAAATAGACCCGCGAGGAACCGTGACGTGCACACAGCTGTCGGTAGCACGCAAAGCTCTGCACAGGACCAGTAAATGGCGAGAGGGCGAGAGAGAGAGAGAGAGGGGGGATGTGGTCTTCAAAAAGCCTCAGTGTAGCTGGAAAGTGTAAGATGAAAGAAGAGAGACTGCAGCTCAGAAGCCGCCCCCCCGCACAGAAAAACACACATGATTGGCCAATCAGTCGACTACAGGCAGGACCTTATGATTCTGATTGATGATCTGATGTAAATCCTTAGTTGGGGACAGGCCCACTGTGTATATATACACACACGTACAAACACTCGAGTCCCCATCTCTGATCTACATGTGTGTATCTTTACATGTGTAAATGTAAATGCTCTGTATGGCACCTTTCTAGTCTTTGCAACCACTCAAAGCGTTTTTACACTTCATCACATTCAGCCTGGAGGAGTAGGGGATTGAACCGACGATCTACCTCCTGAGCCTACTGGTGTGTGTACATGTATGTGCGTACCCCTCTCTTCAGGCTGCGCAGACACTGCTTCCTGGTTCTGGAGCCAGAGGTCATGAGGTCATTCAGCCGCTGTGTGATTGGTTCTCTCGAGGCAGGGGGCGGGGAATGCGGATTACTGACTACGCCCCCGGGTGAAGGAGAGGTGGGGGGTGGAGGGGGAGGTTGCCGGGGCGAGGAGAGGAGAGTCAACAGCTGGGGGGAGAGAGAGAGAGAGGGAGAAAGAGGTTTGTCAGTACAGTCGGGTGATGGCTTCAGGTGTGCAGATGTACCTGTCCTGTGTGTGTTCACCGGTGTCCTGTGTGTATATACACCTATGTACTGTGTGTGTGTGTGTGTACCTATGTACTGTGTGTGTATACACCTGTGTACTGTGTGTATACACCTGTGTACTGTGTGTGTGTGTGTGTGTGTGTGTGTACCTATGTACTGTGTGTGTATACACCTGTGTACTGTGTGTATACACCTATGTACTGTGTGTGTGTGTGTGTGTGTGTGTGTACCTATGTACTGTGTGTGTATACACCTGTGTACTGTGTGTGTATACACCTATGTACTGTGTGTGTGTGTGTGTGTGTGTGTGTACCTATGTACTGTGTGTATACACATGTGTACTGTGTGTATACACCTGTGTACTCTGTGTGTGTGTGTGTGTGTGTGTGTGTGTATCTGTGTACTGTGTGTGTGTATACACCTGTGTACTGTGTGTGTATACACCTGTGTACTGTGTGTGTGTGTGTGTGTGTATCTGTGTACTGTGTGTGTGTATACACCTGTGTCCTGTGTGTGTATACACCTGTGTCCTGTGTGCGTACACCTGTGTACTGTGTGTATATTGTATATGCGCCCGAGTATTTGTGTACCTTGTTTTTCCGTATGAAGGGCCACAGCTTCCTGCTGTGTCTCCGGCCCTCGGTGCGGTTGTCGAGGTAACTGGATTCGGAGATACTCCTCCTCATGGTGGCGCTGTAGTCCTCAAACTCGACATCCCCTGGAGGGTCGAAGCCTGATTTATACACCTCCACCACCTGCCGGGTGTCCTGCACACACAAACACAGCAACACGCGCGTCCTTCGAGCTTTACATCCCTCAGTGACAGTTTAATTTTAGGCTTTGACAAAAAAGGCGTCCCCTCGTGCATTTGCCCGGGACCGCTGCGTTGGCCCAGCGGGGCAGAAAGATGAGATCAACATTAGTCTAAAAGCAACGCGACGTCATCCAGATACATGCAAGTACAGTTTCCTGGCACCTGCGTCTCTAAGATTACTTGACGATAATACTAATAATCTTTTTTAAAACTGTGATTACAGTGGAGGTAGCTGCACTTATACTGCCCCTGTGCTAGGCCGAGTCCTGACTGCAGCGGCCCAGGTTCGAGTTGGTGCATAGTGCCCCCTATCGCTCTCCCTGTTTCCTAACCCCGTCCAATGTTAAATTTTATTTTAACACTATAATAACCTTCCAAAAATCCTGTCCCGTAGTATTAAAAGCCTCTATGCAGTCCAAGGAAGGTTAAAATCAAGGGACACTGGACTTGGTTGAAGACACTTGAAGACATTTGGCCTCTCATCCAAGAGACGTCTCCAGTCCTGACTGGCTGCAGGGAGTCCCAGATGTTTAACCTCTGTGGGGTCATTATCACGGTGATGGATACCAGTTCGGATAATGTGAGTTCAGTCTTCTTTGAAGCGATTAAAGGACAGCCCTGTAGGTGGGGGATTCTTCAGTGCTCAGTGCTATCTTAACAGAGAATCCTGTGTTGTGTCCCTGATACCTGAAGAACCAACACACTATCACAGCACCTCCTTTGGTTTTAATGCTGGATTGTTTTCTGTCTGAACACCCGGTGAAACCTCTGCATGCACAAACTCCAGCATCTGTGATGAAGAGCTTTTCTACGGTTCCACAACTGGTGATATAAAATTCTTGAGGTTCAACAAAGGACTCCCCGGTTCAGGGTTTTATTTGCAGACGTTCCTAGAGGGTCCTCTAGTTCTTTTAATGACAGGAACCTACCGTCTCGAACTACCCAGATCTCAGCCCAAAAGACTCACCATCCTGGGCTGGATGCCCTCAGCAGCGTCCATCATGGCATCGAGACAGCTGCTCACAACAGGGAGAACTTTTCTCTCAGCCTCCGCAGACAAACGCATCGCTTCACAGATTCTCTCGATCCGTCGCTCCTCCATGTCCTGGATCCGCTGCACACACAGAAACAATTGAAATCAATAGACTGTGTTATACTGAGCCGCGTTAACCTGGTTTATAAAACTGCTAGCGGTGTGTGGCACTGCTGGTTAACCTGGTTTTTCGACTCGCCTTGTTTTCCACTGTGGAAAAGTTGGACCTGTACCTGCTTCCAGGTCCTTTTTTTCGTATCACCTCCGTCGAGATTCCAAGCGAGCTGAGGCGATACTAAAACGTGACGTGAAAACACGGCAGACTGCTGATTGGTCAGAGAGAATCGTCACTGTTCACTGCATCATCATTCCGCCTGACAGAGGCCAGCAACAGAAAGTTTTATATGTTAGAGATTTCATACATTATTTCATCACTAAATCCACTTCTAAGAAGTTTGGAGGTGAGAAATCAGCTGGGTAGATTTCGGATATTGACAGTTTTACAAGAAGTGATGGTGGAACAAAAATGTGCTTGAATATATTCGGAATTGAGGAGCTCCGCAAGTGGGGTTGGGGGAAGCATGCGCCAACCCGCGGGAGGAGCGTGTGAGGCTGGCCAGCCGCCCGCTCACAGAGCCCTCTACAGTGTGTGGTAGTGCTGGTTTACATGGTATATAACTGGTACGTGTGTTGGTTTACCTGGTATATAACTGGTACCAGTGTGTGGTAGTGCTGGTTTACATGGTATATAACTGTTACGTGTGCTGGTTTACCTGGTATATAACTGGTACGTGTGCTGGTTTACCTGGTATATAACTGGTACCAGTGTGTGGTAGTGCTGGTTTACATGGTATATAACTGGTACGTGTGTTGGTTTACCTGGTATATAACTGGTACCAGTGTGTGGTAGTGCTGGTTTACATGGTATATAACTGGTACGTGTGCTGGTTTACCTGGTATATAACTGGTACCAGTGTGTGGTAGTGCTGGTTTACCTGGTATATAACTGGTACCAGTGTGTGGTAGTGCTGGTTTACATGGTATATAACTGGTGCGTGTGTTGGTTTACCTGGTATATAACTGGTACATGTGTTGGTTTACCTGGTATATAACTGGTACGTGTGCTGGTTTACCTGGTATATAACTTGTAAAGTGTGCTGGTTTACCTGGTATATAACTGGTGCGTGTGTTGGTTTACCTGGTATATAACTTGTACCAGCGTGTGGTAGTGCTGGTTTACCTGGTATATAACTGGTACAGTGTGTGGTAGTGCTGGTTTACCTGGTATATAACTGGTACAGTGTGTGATAGTGCTGGTTTACCTGGTATATAACTTGTACAGTGTGTGGTACTGCTGGTTTACCTGGTATATAATGGGTACAATGTGTGGTAGTGCTGGTTTACCTGGTATATAACTTGTACAGTGTGTGGTACTGCTGGTTTACCTCGTATATAATGGGTACAATGTGTGGTAGTGCTGGTTTACCTGGTATATAACTGGTACATGTGCTGGTTTACCTGGTATATAACTTGTACGTAGTGCTGGTTTACCTGGTATATAACTGGTACAGTGTGTGGTAGTGCTGGTTTACCTGGTATATAACTGGTACGTGTGTTGGTTTACCTGGTATATAACTGGTACAGTGTGTGGTAGTTCTGGTTTACCTGGTATATAACTGGTACCAGTGTGTGGTAGTGCTGTTTTACATGGTATATAACTGGTGTGTGTTGGTTTACCTGGTATATAACTTGTACAGTGTGCTGGTTTACCTGGTATATAACTGGTACAGTGTGTGGTAGTGCTGGTTTACCTGGTATATAACTGGTACGTGAGCTGGTTTACCTGGTATATAACTTGTACCAGCATGTGGTAGTGCTGGTTTACCTGGTATATAACTGGTACAGTGTGTGGTAGTGCTGGTTTACCTGGTATATAACTGGTACGTGTGTTGGTTTACCTGGTATATAACTGGTACAGTGTGTGGTAGTTCTGGTTTACCTGGTATATAACTGGTACCAGTGTGTGGTAGTGCTGTTTTACATGGTATATAACTGGTGCGTGTGTTGGTTTACCTGGTATATAACTGGTACGTGTGTTGGTTTACCTGGTATATAACTTGTACAGTGTGCTGGTTTACCTGGTATATAACTGGTACGTGTGCTGGTTTACCTGGTATATAACTTGTACAGTGTGCTGGTTTACCTGGTATATAACTGGTGCGTGTGCTTGTTTACCTGGTATATAACTTGTACGTAGTGCTGGTTTACCTGGTATATAACTGGTACGTAGTGCTGGTTTACCTGGTATATAACTTGTACCAGTGAGTGGTAGTGCTGGCTTACCTGTTATATAACTTGTACAGTGTGTGATACTGCTGGTTTACCTGGTATATAACTGGTACAGTGTGTGGTAGTGCTGGTTTACCTGGTATATAACTGGTACGTGAGCTGGTTTACCTGGTATATAACTTGTACCAGCATGTGGTAGTGCTGGTTTACCTGGTATATAACTGGTACAGTGTGTGGTAGTTCTGGTTTACCTGGTATATAACTGTTATGTGTGCTGGTTTACCTGGTATATAACTGGTACAGTGTGTGGTAGTTCTGGTTTACCTGGTATATAACTGGTACAGTGTGTGGTAGTGCTGGTTTACATGGTATATAACTGGTACGTGTGTTGGTTTACCTGGTATATAACTTGTACAGTGTGCTGGTTTACCTGGTATATAACTGGTACGTGTGCTGGTTTACCTGGTATATAACTGGTACGTGAGCTGGTTTACCTGGTATATAACTGGTACGTGAGCTGGTTTACTTGGTATATAACTTGTACCAGCATGTGGTAGTGCTGGTTTACTTGGTATATAACTTGTACCAGCATGTGGTAGTGCTGGTTTACCTGGTATATAACTGGTACAGTGTGTGGTAGTGCAGGTTTACCTGGTATATAACTTGTACCAGTGTGTGGTAGTGCTGGTTTACCTGTTATATAACTTGTACAGTGTGTGGTACTGCTGGTTTACCTGGTATATAACTGGTACAGTGTGTGGTAGTGCTGGTTTACCTGGTATATAACTGGTACATGTGCTGGTTTACCTGGTATATAACTTGTACCAGCGTGTGGTAGTGCTGGTTTACCTGGTATATAACTGGTACAGTGTGTGGTAGTGCTGGTTTACCTGGTATATAACTGTTACGTGTGCTGGTTTACCTGGTATATAACTGGTACAGTGTGTGGTAGTGCTGGTTTACCTGGTATATAACTGGTACAGTGTGTGGTAGTGCTGGTTTACCTGGTATATAACTTGTACCAGTGAGTGGTAGTGCTGGCTTACCTGTTATATAACTTGTACAGTGTGTGGTACTGCTGGTTTACCTGGTATATAACTGGTACAGTGTGTGGTAGTGCTGGTTTACCTGGTATATAACTGGTACATGTGCTGGTTTACCTGGTATATAACTTGTACCAGCATGTGGTAGTGCTGGTTTACCTGGTATATAACTGGTACAGTGTGTGGTAGTGCTGGTTTACCTGGTATATAACTGGTACGTGTGCTGGTTTACCTGGTATATAACTGGTACAGTGTGTGGTAGTGCTGGTTTACCTGGTATATAACTGGTACCAGTGTGTGGTAGTGCTGGTTTACATGGTATATAACTGGTGCGTGTGTTGGTTTACCTGGTATATAACTTGTACAGTGTGCTGGTTTACCTGGTATATAACTGGTGCGTGTGCTGGTTTACCTGGTATATAACTGGTACAGTGTGTGGTAGTGCTGGTTTACCTGGTATATAACTGGTACAGTGTGTGGTAGTGCTGGTTTACCTGGTATATAACTTGTACCAGTGTGTGGTAGTGCTGGTTTACCTGTTATATAACTTGTACAGTGTGTGGTAGTGCTGGTTTACCTGGTATATAACTGGTACAGTGTGTGGTAGTGCTGGTTTACCTGGTATATAACTTGTACCAGCGTGTGGTGGTGCTGGTTTACCTGGTATATAACTGGTACAGTGTGTGGTAGTGCTGGTTTACCTGGTATATAACTTGTACCAGCGTGTGGTGGTTCTGGTTTACCTGGTATATAACTGGTACGTGTGCTGGTTTACCTGGTATATAACTGGTACAGTGTGTGGTAGTGCAGGTTTACCTGGTATATAACTGGTACGTGTGCTGGTTTACCTGGTATATAACTGGTACAGTGTGTGGTAGTGCTGGTTTACCTGGTATATAACTGTTACGTGTGCTGGTTTACCTGGTATATAACTGGTACGTGTGCTGGTTTACCTGGTATATAACTGGTACGTGTGTTGGTTTACCTGGTATATAACTGGTACAGTGTGTGGTAGTGCTGGTTTACCTGGTATATAACTTGTACCAACGTGTGGTAGTGCTGGTTTACCTGGTATATAACTTGTACCAGCGTGCGGTAGTGCTGGTTTACCTGGTATATAACTGGTACGTGTGCTGGTTTACCTGGTATATAACTTGTACCAACGTGCGGTAGTGCTGGTTTACCTGGTATATAACTGGTACGTGTGCTGGTTTACCTGGTATATAACTGGTACAGTGTGTGGTAGTGCTGGTTTACCTGGTATATAACTTGTACCAGCGTGCGGTAGTGCTGGTTTACCTGGTATATAACTGGTACGTGTGCTGGTTTACCTGGTATATAACTGGTACAGTGTGTGGTAGTGCTGGTTTACCTGGTATATAACTTGTACCAGCGTGCGGTAGTGCTGGTTTACCTGGTATATAACTGGAACGTGTGCTGGTTTACCTGGTATATAACTGGTACGTGTGCTGGTTTACCTGGTATATAACTGGAACGTGTGCTGGTTTACCTGGTATATAACTGGTACGTGTGTTGGTTTACCTGGTATATAACTGGTACAGTGTGTGGTAGTGCTGGTTTACCTGGTATATAACTTGTACAGTGTGTGGTAGTGCTGGTTTACCTGTTATATAACTTGTACAGTGTGTGGTAGTGCTGGTTTACCTGGTATATAACTGGTACAGTGTGTGGTAGTGCTGGTTTACCTGGTATATAACTTGTACCAGCGTGTGGTGGTTCTGGTTTACCTGGTATATAACTGGTACGTGTGCTGGTTTACCTGGTATATAACTGGTACGTGTGCTGGTTTACCTGGTATATAACTTGTACAGTGTGTGGTAGTGCTGGTTTACCTGGTATATAACTGGTACGTGTGCTGGTTTACCTGGTATATAACTGGTACAGTGTGTGGTAGTGCTGGTTTACCTGGTATATAACTGTTACGTGTGCTGGTTTACCTGGTATATAACTGTTACGTGTGCTGGTTTACCTGGTATATAACTGGTACGTGTGCTGGTTTACCTGGTATATAACTGGTACGTGTGCTGGTTTACATGGTATATAACTGGTACGTGTGTTGGTTTACCTGGTATATAACTGGTACAGTGTGTGGTAGTGCTGGTTTACCTGGTATATAACTTGTACCAACGTGTGGTAGTGCTGGTTTACCTGGTATATAACTTGTACCAGCGTGCGGTAGTGCTGGTTTACCTGGTATATAACTGGTACGTGTGCTGGTTTACCTGGTATATAACTTGTACCAACGTGTGGTAGTGCTGGTTTACCTGGTATATAACTTGTACCAGCGTGCGGTAGTGCTGGTTTACCTGGTATATAACTGGTACGTGTGCTGGTTTACCTGGTATATAACTGGTACAGTGTGTGGTAGTGCTGGTTTACCTGGTATATAACTTGTACCAGCGTGCGGTAGTGCTGGTTTACCTGGTATATAACTGGAACGTGTGCTGGTTTACCTGGTATATAACTGGAACGTGTGCTGGTTTACCTGGTATATAACTGGTACTTGTGTTGGTTTACTTGGTATATAACTTGTACCAGTGTGTGGTAGCGCTGGTTTACTTGATATATAACTTGTACCAGTGTGTGGTAGTGCTGGTTTACTTGGTATATAACTTGTACCAGTGTGTGGTAGTGCTGGTTTACCTGGTATATAACTGGTACCAGTGTGTGGTAGTGCTGTTGCTGGTCCTGGTTAAACTGGTTTAAACTGGCCACATAGTCTTTTCTGGATTCTTCAGCAGCTTGTTTTTTCTGTTGAGCCGTCTGACGAGCCTGAAATCAGCAACGAAATAAAAGTTTTACCCCAAACAGATCTACCAACACCTGAGATATAACCAGTTCATCAGTGAGCACCAGAGAAATGCATAGAGTTTACAATAAAGGTGGGACACAACCTTACCTTCAGAGAGCAGCGCTGAGAGACCAACCGACCGGCCAACAGACAGACAAGGAGACAGAAGTTCAGATTAGTTCGATTTCTTGAAAACGTTTTTCTTCAGTTCTTCTTCAGACAGTACTGTCAATCCTGACCTCCCTCGCTTTACCACTCACTAACATCTATCAATGATCCATGTTGGTGATGATGGCACTGCTTTAGGCCTAGACTGCTGGGAGACTTCCCATGATGCACTGCGCTCCTCTCTCCTCCTCTCCTTTGTGATACCCCCAACCCAACACTCAAAAAGCAGCATTTGACACAGTGAAACACCAACCTCCTCTCTACCCTCCAAGAACAGGGAGTCTCAGACTCAAGGACGGTCTGAAACCCAGGTGGAGCACAAATCTCGATATAACACTAGAAGCTCAACATCTACAAGACCGAGCTGCTCTTCCTTGCAGGTACAGAATCTCCTGTCCACTAACTCTCCATTATTGGTGAGCACTGCCAACATCGCTGCAACACCCAGCTCCTGCACATTCATCTTCCACAACATCAAGAAGACACATCTGCTCCTCGCCCCGGACACGGCTTAGGTTCTGGTCATCAAAGTACCAGCTAAATAAAGGTAATGTAGCACCTCCTGCACCTCCTCCTGCTGTGATACATTCTGCTTTGGTTGATCAGAGTTAATGTTCATGTGTTTGTGAAGCAGACGGTCTGATAACCACACTCCCATATATCATGTCAGCATCAGGGTCTGTATATTTAGATCCACCTTCTCTCCGTCAGCCTTGTTGTCCAGGTCGATCCGGTCTGAGACTTGTTGAGCTCGCTCCGCCTCCTTACAGTCACGCTCAAACCGCCGCTTACTCTGAACAGTGACAACAAGGAAACAATACAATCGTGTTTTCAGTGGTTCAGTCAGTAAAACATGTTTTAAATCTCTGGAGTCAGATGTGTTGGTGTTAGTGGGTGGAGTCAGACGTGTTGGTGGGTGGGGTCAGACGTGTTGGTGTTGGTGGGTGGAGTCAGACGTGTTGGTGTTAGTGGGTGGAGTCAGACGTGTTGGTGGGTGGGGTCAGACGTGTTAGTGGGTGGGGTCAGACGTGTTGGTGTTAGTGGGTGGAGTCAGACGTGTTGGTGTTAGTGGGTGGAGTCAGACGTGTTGGTGGATGGGGTCAGACGTGTTGGTGTTAGTGGGTGGAGTCAGACGTGTTAGTGGGTGGAGTCAGACGTGTTGGTGTTAGTGGGTGGAGTCAGACGTGTTGGTGTTGGTGGGTGGGGTCAGACGTGTTGGTGTTAGTGGGTGGGGTCAGACGTGTTGGTGTTAGTGGGTGGAGTCAGACGTGTTGGTGTTAGTGGGTGGAGTCAGACGTGTTGGTGTTAGTGGGTGGAGTCAGACGTGTTAGTGGGTGGAGTCAGACGTGTTGGTGTTAGTGGGTGGAGTCAGACGTGTTGGTGGATGGGGTCAGACGTGTTGGTGTTAGTGGGTGGAGTCAGACGTGTTAGTGGGTGGAGTCAGACGTGTTGGTGTTAGTGGGTGGAGTCAAATGTGTTGGTGTTGGTGGGTGGAGTCAGACGTGTTGGTGTTAGTGGGTGGAGTCAGACGTGTTGGTGGATGGGGTCAGACGTGTTGGTGTTAGTGGGTGGAGTCAGACGTGTTGGTGTTAGTGGGTGGAGTCAGACGTGTTGGTGGATGGGGTCAGACGTGTTGGTGGATGGGGTCAGACGTGTTGGTGTTAGTGGGTGGAGTCAAATGTGTTGGTGTTGGTGGGTGGAGTCGGACGTGTTAGTCGGTGGAGTCAGACGTGTTGGTGTTAGTGGGTGGAGTCAAATGTGTTGGTGTTGGTGGGCGGAGTCAGACGTGTTGGTGGATGGAGTCAGACGTGTTGGTGGATGGAGTCAGACGTGTTGGTGTTAGTGGGTGGAGTCAGACGTATTAGTGGGTGTAGTCAGACGTGTTGGTGTTAGTGGGTGGAGTCAGACGTGTTGGTGGATGGAGTCGGACGTGTTGGTGGGTGGGGTCAGATGTGTTGGTGGATGGAGTCAGACGTGTTGGTGTTAGTGGGTGGAGTCAGACGTATTAGTGGGTGTAGTCAGACGTGTTGGTGTTAGTGGGTGGAGTCAGACGTGTTGGTGGATGGAGTCGGACGTGTTGGTGGGTGGGGTCAGATGTGTTGGTGGATGGAGTCAGACGTGTTGGTGTTAGTGGGTGGAGTCAGACGTGTTGGTGGATGGGGTCAGACGTGTTGGTGTTAGTGGGTGGAGTCAGACGTGTTGGTGGATGGGGTCAGATGTGTTGGTGGGTGGGGTCAGATGTGTTGGTGGATGGAGTCAGACGTGTTGGTGTTAGTGGGTGGAGTCAGACGTATTAGTGGGTGTAGTCAGACGTGTTGGTGGATGGAGTCAGACGTGTTGGTGGGTGGGGTCAGATGTGTTGGTGGATGGAGTCAGACGTGTTGGTGTTAGTGGGTGGAGTCAGACGTGTTGGTGGATGGAGTCAGACGTGTTGGTGTTAGTGGGTGGAGTCAGACGTGTTGGTGGATGGAGTCAGACGTGTTGGTGGATGGGGTCAGACGTGTTGGTGAGTGGGGTCAGACGTGTTAGTGGGTGGAGTCAGACGTGTTGGTGTTAGTGGGTGGAGTCAGACGTGTTGGTGGATGGAGTCAGACGTGTTGGTGGGTGGAGTCAGACGTGTTGGTGGATGGAGTCAGACGTATTAGTGGGTGGAGTCAGACGCATTGGAGCACAAGGGGAATTCCTTTCAACTGTGTTGACACCAAAATATCGTATTGTGGTTTGGTGTGTGGGTGTCTGGGGATGTGGGCGGGGTCAGAGGTCACTCACTGACTCCAGTTGTTTCCAGGAGCTCTCAATGTGCTGCTGAGCACGGCGGCCATCTTGGAAATGCTGAAACAGAAACAAAAACTAGTCACTGCTCCGGTCACACAGGGACCAGGAAGTGAGTAACTTATTGTCACTTGTAGATCTCGTGCTGTATTGTTGCTTTGCTGATGCTTATATGTTGTTCCTCAAATGTAAGTCGCTTTGGATAAAAGAGAAAATGTAATGTGTTCACTTTATTTATGAGAAAACATTTAGTTACTGAAGTGAACTTCAAATGCATCTTTAATTGTGTAGTTCTCATAAATACTGTGGTGACCGTCAGGTATGACCGAGCTGCTGAGCTGCAGGTGAAGGAGCGAGGAGCCTCATTCTTTGTTTGTGTCTGTTTGTTTACTTACAGTCTTCCTCTCAGTCTTCAGCTCCTGTGTGTATCTCGTCAGCTCGGACACAATCTGTGTGTTCAGGTTTTCAGACAGTTCTTCTCTCTGAACCGAAAGTTCATTCAGCTGACGGAGAGTCGCCGCAAATGCCAGACACCAGGTGTACCTGTAACAAGCAATCAGACACCAGGTGTACCTGTAACAAGCAATCAGACACCAGGTGTACCTGTAACAAGCAATCAGACACCAGGTGTACCTGTAACAAGCAATCAGACACCAGGTGTAGAGCTGTGCTCGGAGGTGTGCGTACCCTGCAGAAACGATGACGTTTTGACATTTAGTCTGATCTTTTATTTAAGTTATCAGATGATGCCTGTTTGGCTCCTTTATAAAATCACAATCAAACCATAAACCACCTAAATGGGCCTGATCAAAGTTTACATCCCCTGAATGTTCGGCCGTGTTGCAGACTCACAGGTGAGAATGGCAATTAAGGCTTCATTTCAAAACAAAATGTTTGGGATACAAAGAAAAGCCCAGCGGTGCCCTCAGGAGAAATACGGGCTACTCTGGAAGAAGACATATGGTTGTTGCAAGGAGCACAATACGAGGACACTTGAACGAGAAGTCTTTAGTGCACCGAGCTCTAAAGGCACCGGGAGTCTTGTGAAAATTGATGGCAAGATGAATGCAGCGCGTTATCAGAAAATACTGGTTCCAGCCAGGCGTGGAGGGGACGCGGGTTTAATTTCATTTATTTTACACACTTCTACGGTAATTATTGGTTCGTTTTGATGCTACACTGGTTAGAAATGACCACCCACCTAATGTTGCTCTGCCACCCAGAAATAAATACATTAAGTACTGCGAGTGAACGAGCTAAACGTCTAAGCTAGCGAAGGGTGGCCAACTCGCAGTGGAACTTCGACTCTCCCGTGAGGCTATCCTGACAGACCGGGGAAGGGAGACAACAGGGAGCTTCCAAGGCCTGCGCAGCGAGGCGGCAGAGGAGATAAACGGCCTCAGGTGATGGCTGAGCAGACCGACATGGCGCACAGCCTCACAGATGCTCAGAACCGCATTCGACAAGTGGAGCAGCACGACCATTTCAAAGCAAAGAGCTGAAGCGGCTAAATGTAGAGTTTTGATCTCAAAAGCAGGGGCCAACGACACAACTTGAGGTTTGTCAGCAGAGGGGCCCCGCCCCACCAGATTCAAGACAGAGCTTATCCCACAGATATTGGGAGCTGACAACATTCCCTCCCCTGTAGTGACTGATCGATCGCTAGTGCCAAAGCCCAAACAGGTCCAAGGCCAATCATTGTCCCACTACGTTATTATACATAAAGAGAAGTTTGGCACTTTTTAAAGGCCACGGTCCCTTCGTCCTGCAAGTTCACACCTACCCTGATCTCCCGGTGGAAATAAGCAAGTTCCAGGAAACTTTCAGCACAGTGAAGGCCAAAGCTCCGGCTTTACCCTATATTATCCTGCGGTCCTCCCCATCAACCTACGCGGCGTTCAGCACACCTTTGATTCCACACCAGCAGCGGGGGATTTCTGCAATGCCAAGACGACCCGAAGACTTTGCACGACCTGGAGGCATTTTGCCAAGACGAATGGGCAACCTGCAGGAATTCAGGGGCTCATAGACAGCTATTGGAAAAGACGCTGTGATGCATGCTGAAGGGGGCAAAACACAGTATTAGGAACTAAGGTATGCAGACTTTGGAACAGGGTCACTGGTTTTCTCTCATGATGGTGCCATTCCGTTATGACCTACAGCTGAATGTGAATCCCACGAGAAATAAAAGACGTGTTTTGCCGAAGCGCTCGTATATTACCAAGTGAGCCCAACTGCACCTGCAACAGCCAATCAGACAGCTCCTGTGTTTCATAAACTCCAGCTTCACTCAGCGTCCGCCCGGGAGAGTAACTATGGGCGCTGAGGTTGTCCTCACGGGCGGCGAGCAGGTCAGAGTCGAGACAACAAACATCTCTGAACATTTCATGGACTGAAACAATTTTATAAAAGTGAAACGTTGGTCTAAAGACACATGTTGACTGACCTGCTCTCTTCCTCTCTGCTTCTCTTAGGGTGATACTTCTTAGACAGGCTCCTGCAGACAGACAGGTGGAGACAGAGAGACAGACCGGTGGAGACAGAGAGACAGACAGGTGGAGACAGACAGGTCGAGACAGAGAGACAGACCGGTGGAGACAGACAGGTGGAGACAGAGAGACAGACCGGTGGAGACAGAGAGACAGACAGGTGGAGACAGACAGGTCGAGACAGAGAGACAGACCGGTGGAGACAGAGAGACAGACAGGTGGAGACAGACAGGTCGAGACAGAGAGACAGACCGGTGGAGACAGAGAGACAGACATCATAATTTTTACATCATGTCTCTGGCTTGTTTCCAGATTCAGCTCAAAGAACAGACGGATCAGCTTCAGAAGGGGGACTGCAGAGGGAATCATCTTGAAGCTAAAATCTGGTACAGTGCATCAAATGGAAATGGTTATATTTTACTGTCCGCTGTCCCTTTTATATAAAAAGTGAAAATGAAAGGATCTCCAGTTAAAGTTCAGTGTTTCAGTCTGTGTTCGGTCATTGACAGCTCTCATCTTCTCCGCCCCCCAACGTTAAAACTCTGTTCTACAGTTTCTCTGTAGTTAGTCTGAAGCAGAATAAACTGATGTCTCTGTTTCCAGCCTGAGCCGCAGTGGAGAGACAGAAACAGTTTGTAATGGGGAACCAGGAGGAGGACCACATGTAGAAATGAAAGCCTGAATCAGGTCTGCTGAATAAAGTGTGAAACCTGAGGGTTTTGGTTAGGGGTAGGTTGCGCCACACCGCCGGATGTATTCCTTTACCTGCAGAAGGCTTTTGATTAAAACCCTTTAGGTCACTTCATAAACAAGCAATGAACGTCTCAGACAGGACGTCACCAAGTCAAATCTAAAGTCTCTGAGCTAGAGTCTAATTCAAAGTCTCTGAGCTAGAGTCCAAGTCAAGTCTAAAGTCTCTGAGCTAGAGTCTAATTCAAAGTCTCTGAGCTAGAGTCCAAGTCAAGTCTAAAGTCTCTGAGCTAGAGTCTAATTCAAAGTCTCTGAGCTAGAGTCTAATTCAAAGTCTCTGAGCTAGAGTCCAAGTCAAGTCTAAAGTCTCTGAGCTAGAGTCTAATTCAAAGTCTCTGAGCTAGAGTCTAATTCAAAGTCTCTGAGCTAGAGTCCAAGTCAAGTCTAAAGTCTCTGAGCTAGAGTCTAATTCAAAGTCTCTGAGCTAGAGTCCAAGTCAAGTCTAAAGTCTCTGAGCTAGAGTCCAAGTCAAGTCTAAAGTCTCTGAGCTAGAGTCCAAGTCAAGTCTAAAGTCTCTGAGCTAGAGTCTAATTCAAAGTCTCTGAGCTAGAGTCCAAGTCAAGTCTAAAGTCTCTGTGCTAGAGTCCAAGTCAAGTCTAAAGTCTCTGAGCTAGAGTCTAATTCAAAGTCTCTGAGCTAGAGTCCAAGTCAAGTCTAAAGTCTCTGAGCTAGAGGCCAAGTCAAGTCTAAAGTCTCTGAGCTAGAGTCTAATTCAAAGTCTCTGAGCTAGAGTCCAAGTCAAGTCTAAAGTCTCTGAGCTAGAGTCTAATTCAAAGTCTCTGAGCTAGAGTCCAAGTCAAGTCTAAAGTCTCTGTGCTAGAGTCCAAGTCAAGTCTAAAGTCTCTGAGCTAGAGTCCAAGTCAAGTCTAAAGTCTCTGAGCTAGAGTCTAATTCAAAGTCTCTGAGCTAGAGTCCAAGTCAAGTCTAAAGTCTCTGTGCTAGAGTCCAAGTCAAGTCTAAAGTCTCTGAGCTAGAGTCTAATTCAAAGTCTCTGAGCTAGAGTCCAAGTCAAGTCTAAAGTCTCTGAGCTAGAGTCTAATTCAAAGTCTCTGAGCTAGAGTCTAATTCAAAGTCTCTGAGCTAGAGTCTAATTCAAAGTCTCTGAGCTAGAGTCTAATTCAAAGTCTCTGAGCTAGAGTCCAAGTCAAGTCTAAAGTCTCTGAGCTAGAGTCTAATTCAAAGTCTCTGAGCTAGAGTCCAAGTCAAGTCTAAAGTCTCTGTGCTAGAGTCCAAGTCAAGTCTAAAGTCTCTGAGCTAGAGTCTAATTCAAAGTCTCTGAGCTAGAGTCTAATTCAAAGTCTCTGAGCTAGAGTCCAAGTCAAGTCTAAAGTCTCTGTGCTAGAGGCCAAGTCAAGTCTAAAGTCTCTGAGCTAGAGTCTAATTCAAAGTCTCTGAGCTAGAGTCCAAGTCAAGTCTAAAGTCTCTGAGCTAGAGTCTAATTCAAAGTCTCTGAGCTAGAGTCTAATTCAAAGTCTCTGAGCTAGAGTCCAAGTCAAGTCTAAAGTCTCTGAGCTAGAGTCTAATTCAAAGTCTCTGAGCTAGAGTCTAATTCAAAGTCTCTGAGCTAGAGTCCAAGTCAAGTCTAAAGTCTCTGTGCTAGAGTCCAAGTCAAGTCTAAAGTCTCTGAGCTAGAGTCTAATTCAAAGTCTCTGAGCTAGAGTCCAAGTCAAGTCTAAAGTCTCTGAGCTAGAGTATAATTCAAAGTCTCTGAGCTAGAGTCCAAGTCAAGTCTAAAGTCTCTGTGCTAGAGTCCAAGTCAAGTCTAAAGTCTCTGAGCTAGAGTCTAATTCAAAGTCTCTGAGCTACAGTCTAATTCAAAGTCTCTGAGCTAGAGTCTAATTCAAAGTCTCTGAGCTAGAGTCCAAGTCAAGTCTAAAGTCTCTGAGCTAGAGTCTAATTCAAAGTCTCTGAGCTAGAGTCCAAGTCAAGTCTAACGTCTCTGAGCTAGAGTCCAAGTCAAGTCTAAAGTCTCTGAGCTAGAGTCTAATTCAAAGTCTCTGAGCTAGAGTCCAAGTCAAGTCTAACGTCTCTGAGCTAGAGTCCAAGTCAAGTCTAAAGTCTCTGTGCTAGAGTCCAAGTCAAGTCTAAAGTCTCTGAGCTAGAGTCTAATTCAAAGTCTCTGAGCTAGAGTCCAAGTCAAGTCTAAAGTCTCTGAGCTAGAGTCTAATTCAAAGTCTCTGAGCTAGAGTCCAAGTCAAGTCTAAAGTCTCTGTGCTAGAGTCCAAGTCAAGTCTAAAGTCTCTGAGCTAGAGTCTAATTCAAAGTCTCTGAGCTAGAGTCCAAGTCAAGTCTAAAGTCTCTGAGCTAGAGTCTAATTCAAAGTCTCTGAGCTAGAGTCCAAGTCAAGTCTAAAGTCTCTGTGCTAGAGTCCAAGTCAAGTCTAAAGTCTCTGAGCTAGAGTCTAATTCAAAGTCTCTGAGCTAGAGTCTAATTCAAAGTCTCTGAGCTAGAGTCCAAGTCAAGTCTAAAGTCTCTGTGCTAGAGGCCAAGTCAAGTCTAAAGTCTCTGAGCTAGAGTCTAATTCAAAGTCTCTGAGCTAGAGTCCAAGTCAAGTCTAAAGTCTCTGAGCTAGAGTCTAATTCAAAGTCTCTGAGCTAGAGTCTAATTCAAAGTCTCTGAGCTAGAGTCTAATTCAAAGTCTCTGAGCTAGAGTCTAATTCAAAGTCTCTGAGCTAGAGTCTAATTCAAAGTCTCTGAGCTAGAGTCTAATTCAAAGTCTCTGAGCTAGAGTCCAAGTCAAGTCTAAAGTCTCTGAGCTAGAGTCTAATTCAAAGTCTCTGAGCTAGAGTCCAAGTCAAGTCTAAAGTCTCTGTGCTAGAGTCCAAGTCAAGTCTAAAGTCTCTGAGCTAGAGTCTAATTCAAAGTCTCTGAGCTAGAGTCCAAGTCAAGTCTAAAGTCTCTGAGCTAGAGTATAATTCAAAGTCTCTGAGCTAGAGTCCAAGTCAATTCTAAAGTCTCTGTGCTAGAGTCCAAGTCAAGTCTAAAGTCTCTGAGCTAGAGTCTAATTCAAAGTCTCTGAGCTACAGTCTAATTCAAAGTCTCTGAGCTAGAGTCTAATTCAAAGTCTCTGAGCTAGAGTCCAAGTCAAGTCTAAAGTCTCTGAGCTAGAGTCCAATTCAAAGTCTCTGAGCTAGAGTCCAAGTCAAGTCTAACGTCTCTGAGCTAGAGTCCAAGTCAAGTCTAAAGTCTCTGAGCTAGAGTCTAATTCAAAGTCTCTGAGCTAGAGTCCAAGTCAAGTCTAACGTCTCTGAGCTAGAGTCCAAGTCAAGTCTAAAGTCTCTGAGCTAGAGTCTAATTCAAAGTCTCTGAGCTAGAGTCTAATTCAAAGTCTCTGAGCTAGAGTCCAAGTCAAGTCTAAAGTCTCTGTGCTAGAGTCCAAGTCAAGTCTAAAGTCTCTGAGCTAGAGTCTAATTCAAAGTCTCTGAGCTAGAGTCCAAGTCAAGTCTAAAGTCTCTGAGCTAGAGTATAATTCAAAGTCTCTGAGCTAGAGTCCAAGTCAAGTCTAAAGTCTCTGTGCTAGAGTCCAAGTCAAGTCTAAAGTCTCTGAGCTAGAGTCTAATTCAAAGTCTCTGAGCTAGAGTCCAAGTCAAGTCTAAAGTCTCTGAGCTAGAGTCTAATTCAAAGTCTCTGAGCTAGAGTCCAAGTCAAGTCTAACGTCTCTGAGCTAGAGTCCAAGTCAAGTCTAAAGTCTCTGAGCTAGAGTCTAATTCAAAGTCTCTGAGCTAGAGTCCAAGTCAAGTCTAACGTCTCTGAGCTAGAGTCCAAGTCAAGTCTAAAGTCTCTGAGCTAGAGTCTAATTCAAAGTCTCTGAGCTAGAGTCCAAGTCAAGTCTAACGTCTCTGAGCTAGAGTCCAAGTCAAGTCTAACGTCTCTGAGCTAGAGTCTAATTCAAAGTCTCTGAGCTAGAGTCCAAGTCAAGTCTAACGTCTCTGAGCTAGAGTCCAAGTCAAGTCTAAAGTCTCTGAGCTAGAGTCTAATTCAAAGTCTCTGAGCTAGAGTCCAAGTCAAGTCTAACGTCTCTGAGCTAGAGTCCAAGTCAAGTCTAACGTCTCTGAGCTAGAGTCCAAGTCAAGTCTAAAGTCTCTGAGCTAGAGTCTAATTCAAAGTCTCTGAGCTAGAGTCCAAGTCAAGTCTAAAGTCTCTGAGCTAGAGTCTAATTCAAAGTCTCTGAGCTAGAGTCCAAGTCAAGTCTCAAGTCCTTGAGAATGAATTAATGTTGTATCACCTGCTGCGTTCAGTCCAGGCTGCTTATTAAACTTCATAGCTATAAGGGATTCTACAACTGTAATCTGTGTGGCCGTGCGCAGCTGATAACGCAGGGAGGGAAATAAAAGCACGCTCATCAGACGTTTCCTAAAAATAAACACTGTTCACGAGTCCCGCACTTTGAGTCCGGCTCGAGTCTGAAGTCTTTTGAGGACAAGTTTCAAGTTGAGTCTGAAGTCACTGTGTGTGCAACACAAGTCGGACTCGAGTCCGAGTCTCAAACCCACCCATCTCTGATATGTACATGTTTAAGAACTGGACAGCCTATATATTTTTATTTATTTGTTATGTTACCCTGTTCTAATACACATTAAATTATCTGCTATACTCTATGTGTGTAGCATAAAGGGCCCACAAACTTTCATTTCACTGTACAGCCTTGTGTTACATAAGAACAAATAAATGCAGGTGACCTGCAGGTGATGTTGTTACCTTATCTGTTTGGCGTAGCTCAGCTCGATGTCAGCTCTCTCTTTAACAAACTTGCTGTATCTCTCCAGGAAGTCGATTCCCCAGCTGGTGTGTTTCTCCAAGTTATCAAACTGATCCTGAATCACAAGACAAAAATCAGTGCGTAAAGCTGCAGTTCTGACATCCTGTACACTGCAGTACTGCAGAAGAGTACTTCTACTGTAGTACAGTAGGCTTGACTAATTTAGCCGACGCTTCAGTCTCTCCAGCTCAGATACGGACAAGACCCAGCAAGACAGATCATATCACTCCGGTTTTAGCGTCTCTGCACTGGCTTCTGGTAAAATGTAGAATAGAATTTAAAATCATTCTTCTCACCTACAAAGCTGGTCAGGTCTACGAAGCTGGTCAGGTCTACGAAGCTGGTCAGGTCTACAAAGCTGGTCTGGTCTACAAAGCTGGTCAGGTCTACAAAGCTGATCTGGTCTACAAAGCTGGTCAGGCACCATCTTATCTTAAAGAGCTCATAGTACCTTACTACCCCACCAGAGCACTGCACTCCCAGAATGCACCTGTGGTTCCTAGAGTCTCCAAAAGTAGACTGGGAGCCAGAGCCTTCAGGCACCTTGGCTGTGGAATCAGACTCTGTTTGGGTCCTGGAAGAAACCAACATCTCCAAACTTAGTATTCTCAAACTTTTCTTTTTAGTTAGGGCTATGGTATTTTTTATGATTTCTTAAGATGTATAATTATTTATAATCTTATTTCACCATAATGATCTTCACAAGTTCCCTCAATGTTTTTTATAATCCAACAGAAAAGAACATTTACCTTAAAATCATCTAATAAACATGGTGATGACATGGAGTTGTCTTCAGATTACTAACAACCTGACTGATATTATTACAGGCTGACTGATATTATTACAGGCTGACTGATATTATTACAGGCTGACTGATATTATTACAGACTGACTGATATTATTACAGACTGATATTATTACAGGCTGACTGATATTATTACAGACTGACTGATATTATTACAGACTGATATTATTACAGACTGACTGATATTATTACAGACTGACTGATATTATTACAGACTGACTGATATTATTACAGACTGACTGATATTATTACAGGCTGATATTATTACAGGCTGACTGATATTATTACAGACTGACGGAACTAAAGACTGACTGATATTATTACAGGCTGACTGATATTATTACAGACTGACTGATATTATTACAGGCTGACTGATATTATTACAGGCTGATATTATTACAGGCTGACTGATATTATTACAGACTGACTGATATTATTACAGGCTGACTGATATTATTACAGGCTGATATTATTACAGACTGACTGAACTAAAGACTGACTGATATTATTACAGGCTGACTGATATTATTACAGACTGACTGATATTATTACAGACTGACTGATATTATTACAGGCTGATATTATTACAGGCTGACTGATATTATTACAGACTGACTGAACTAAAGACTGACTGATATTATTACAGACTGACTGATATTATTACAGACTGACTGATATTATTACAGGCTGACTGATATTATTACAGACTGACTGATATTATTACAGACTGATATTATTACAGACTGACTGATATTATTACAGACTGACTGAACTAAAGACTGACTGATATTATTACAGACTGACTGATATTATTACAGGCTGACTGATATTATTACAGACTGACTGAACTAAAGACTGACTGATATTATTACAGACTGACTGATATTATTACAGACTGACTGAACTAAAGACTGACTGATATTATTACAGACTGACTGATATTATTACAGACTGACTGAACTAAAGACTGACTGATATTATTACAGACTGACTGATATTATTACAGGCTGACTGATATTATTACAGACTGACTGAACTAAAGACTGACTGATATTATTACAGACTGACTGATATTATTACAGACTGACTGAACTAAAGACTGACTGATATTATTACAGACTGACTGATATTATTACAGACTGACTGATATTATTACAGACTGACTGAACTAAAGACTGACTGATATTATTACAGACTGACTGATATTATTACAGACTGACTGAACTAAAGACTGACTGATATTATTACAGACTGACTGATATTATTACAGACTGACTGAACTAAAGACTGACTGATATTATTACAGACTGACTGATATTATTACAGACTGACTGAACTAAAGACTGACTGATATTATTACAGACTGATATTATTACAGGCTGACTGATATTATTACAGACTGACTGAACTAAAGACTGACTGATATTATTACAGGCTGACTGATATTATTACAGGCTGACTGATATTATTACAGGCTGACTGATATTATTACAGGCTGACTGATATTATTACAGACTGACTGATATTATTACAGACTGACTGAACTAAAGACTGACTGATATTATTACAGACTGATATTATTACAGGCTGACTGATATTATTACAGGCTGACTGATATTATTACAGACTGACTGATATTATTACAGGCTGACTGATATTATTACAGACTGACTGAACTAAAGACTGACTGATATTATTACAGACTGACTGACATTATTACAGACTGACTGAACTAAAGACTGACTGATATTATTACAGACTGACTGATATTATTACAGGCTGACTGATATTATTACAGGCTGACTGATATTATTACAGACTGACTGATATTATTACAGGCTGACTGATATTATTACAGACTGACTGATATTATTACAGGCTGACTGAACTAAAGACTGACTGATATTATTACAGACTGACTGATATTATTACAGACTGACTGATATTATTACAGACTGACTGATATTATTACAGGCTGACTGAACTAAAGACTGACTGATATTATTACAGACTGACTGATATTATTACAGGCTGACTGATATTATTACAGACTGACTGATATTATTACAGACTGATATTATTACAGACTGACTGATATTATTACAGACTGACTGAACTAAAGACTGACTGATATTATTACAGACTGACTGATATTATTACAGGCTGACTGATATTATTACAGACTGACTGATATTATTACAGGCTGACTGATATTATTACAGACTGACTGAACTAAAGACTGACTGATATTATTACAGGCTGACTGATATTATTACAGACTGACTGAACTAAAGACTGACTGATATTATTACAGGCTGACTGATATTATTACAGGCTGACTGATATTATTACAAACTGACTGATATTATTACAGACTGACTGATATTATTACAGACTGACTGATATTATTACAGACTGATATTATTACAGACTGACTGATATTATTACAGACTGACTGAACTAAAGACTGACTGATATTATTACAGACTGATATTATTACAGACTGACTGATATTATTACAGACTGACTGATATTATTACAGACTGACTGAACTAAAGACTGACTGATATTATTACAGACTGACTGATATTATTACAGGCTGACTGATATTATTACAGGCTGACTGATATTATTACAACCTGACTGATATTATTACAGACTGATATTATTACAGACTGACTGATATTATTACAGACTGACTGAACTAAAGACTGACTGATATTATTACAGACTGACTGATATTATTACAGACTGATATTATTACAGGCTGACTGATATTATTACAGACTGACTGAACTAAAGACTGACTGATATTATTACAGACTGACTGATATTATTACAGGCTGACTGATATTATTACAGACTGACTGATATTATTACAGGCTGACTGATATTATTACAGACTGACTGAACTAAAGACTGACTGATATTATTACAGACTGACTGGTAGTATTACAGACTGACTGAACTAAAGACTGACTGATATTATTACAGGCTGACTGATATTATTACAGACTGACTGAACTAAAGACTGACTGATATTATTACAGGCTGACTGATATTATTACAGGCTGACTGATATTATTACAGACTGACTGAACTAAAGACTGACTGATATTATTATAGGCTGACTGATATTATTACAGACTGACTGAACTAAAGACTGACTGATATTATTACAGACTGACTGAACTAAAGACTGACTGATATTATTACAGACTGAAAAGACTGACTGATATTATTACAGGCTGACTGATATTATTACAGACTGACTGAACTAAAGACTGACTGATATTATTACAGCCTGACTGATATTATTACAGACTGACTGAACTAAAGACTGACTGATATTATTACAGACTGACTGATATTATTACAGACTGACTGATATTATTACAGGCTGACTGAACTAAAGACTGACTGATATTATTACAGACTGATATTATTACAGACTGACTGATATTATTACAGGCTGACTGATATTATTACAGACTGACTGATATTATTACACACTGACTGATATTATTACAGACTGACTGATATTATTACAAACTGACTGATATTATTACAGACTGACTGAACTAAAGACTGACTGATATTATTACAGACTGACTGATATTATTACAGGCTGACTGATATTATTACAGACTGACTGATATTATTACACACTGACTGATATTATTACAGACTGACTGAACTAAAGACTGACTGATATTATTACAGACTGACTGATATTATTACAGGCTGACTGATATTATTAAAGACTGACTGATATTATTACAGGCTGACTGAACTAAAGACTGACTGATATTATTACAGGCTGACTGATATTATTACAGACTGACTGATATTATTACAGGCTGACTGATATTATTACAGACTGACTGATATTATTACAGGCTGACTGAACTAAAGACTGACTGATATTATTACAGACTGATATTATTACAGACTGACTGATATTATTACAGGCTGACTGATATTATTACAGACTGACTGATATTATTACACACTGACTGATATTATTACACACTGACTGATATTATTACAGACTGACTGAACTAAAGACTGACTGATATTATTACAGACTGACTGATATTATTACAGACTGACTGATATTATTACAGACTGACTGATATTATTACAGACTGACTGATATTATTACAGACTGACTGAACTAAAGACTGACTGATATTATTACAGACTGACTGATATTATTACAGACTGACTGATATTATTACAGACTGACT